TTAAACTAGACATACCCAATTCCAGCAACCATTCCTTATATGTTTTAGCCTCCAGTCCCCTAATCATCTTTGTTGTTCTTCTCTGTACTCTTTCTAAAGTCTCAACATCTTTTTTACATCGGGGTGACCAAAACTGGATGCAGTATTCCAAGTGTGGCCTTATCAAGGGATTGTAAAGTGGTATTAACACTTCACGTGATCTTGATTCTATCCCTCTGTTAATGCAGCCCAGCACTGTGTTGGCCTTTTTGGCAGCTGCAGCACACTGCTGGCTCATATTTAGGTGATTGTCCACTAGGACTCCGAGGTCCCTCTCACAGTTACTACTATTGAGCAAGGTACCCCCTATACTATGAGATGGCATATCCTTGTATAGCACCAAACTGGGAATTATATACAATTTAAGCATATTTATTTGGAAGAAAGCTACACCTCGTTCCATAAGGTTTCCTCATAGGAAAAAAAACCAAAAAGCAAAAGGACTGTCACTTTAATCATACTTTTAAAAATCTGTACTAAGCAATAAAACTAACCAAACTAAGCAGGATTGGATTGTACGCTCACATTTTGTTGGTCAAAATTTTGGCTCCATTTTGGTTTTTCTATCTAAAGGTCAAATTACACAGGATAATATAGGATATCAACATATAGTACTAGACTATTCTATTATTTAATTTAATTTATGGTAGATAGCAGTAATAGGACTGGGATGAATAAATACTGTACTGAATTTAAATTATTTTTACACTGCATCTTGAGTGAAAACCTCTCCCATCAAGCATGTATTACTCCTAGGCAGAAGCTGTCCCCACCAATCCTGCTCAGTAGCTTGTGAGTAGCTTGTCTCAGAAGTTTCATGAGTTTTACATGCTGGCATATATTTCACATACTGTGCACTTCCATGGCCTCCAAATGATTGTGAGGTTCTACCTCTTTGCTTAAAAACAGTGGGAAGGAAAGATAACAAATGCATTATTTGTGGCAAGGATTTCTAGCACTCAGTGATAGGAGAGAAAACAGAATTCAGAGCACAATCCAATGAGTAACCTTTAAAAGGGGGAAATGGCTCTTTTAGATGGAGCTTGAATGAGATGCTGTTGCAAAAGGAAATGGGGAGGATTGCGAAAAGAAGTTAAAAGAATTTTTTGAGAATAATTCTTAATAAAGGCACAGACGTAAGAAATGGTTGGGATGCAAGCAAAGCAATTATAAGAGGAATTTCATGTAATGTAAAAGTGAATTTAAAAAGAAAAGCAAAGAGAAAATAAAAGTGATTTGGGGTGAAATAAAAAAGGAAGAAGTAGGACAACTATTGCCTACCAAATTAAGCTTCTACAGAGAAAATTGTCTATATTAACAATGAGAAAGATGGAAATAAAAATGAATTATGCAAAACCAAATAATTTTTAATTTGCAAATAAACTGGAGAAAATAGTTGGCATATAAATTGAGAAAAGAAAGTGATAATAAAGTTACAAGAAAAAATACTGAAATAACAGATAATGCAAATAAGTGAAAAGTGTTCCATCAAAATTATTATACTTTATATAAATGTCAAATAATTTCTGTGGGAAAAGTGTGTGAATAGTTACCTAAACAGAACTTAACTGATCTTCGCAATAGATCACAGTGAATCTACAGAGACAAATTTTGAACAGATCTATTAGTAATAAGAAAAACTATCACAGGAAAACCTGGTCTAGATGGTCTGCTTGCCTCTTATCATAAATGTTTTGAGGATGAACTTTTACAACAAATGATAAATACTATTTTACAGAATAGAAAGATTCCTTACAACTATAGAGAGGGTGATGTAGCATTAAAGCTAAAGAGGTCCAGGACATGACTTTATCAACTGAAATTATCAACCAATATTGCAGGATCCAATCTGGGTCAGTTATTGGGACCAGAGATTTTGTTTTCTGAACTTTCAGACTCACAAAAGAGCCCATCTTCAGGGCATTTCTAGCTAGCTTGAATCGTGCAATATTATCCTAGGACACGTATAACACCTTCATTTGTATCAACCAATATTGTTGTTGTTTACCACGATTTTGGCTAAAAGGTTAGAAATAATTTTACAGGACTTTATTCATGAAAATAAATATGGGTTTTTACCTAAAAGACAATTATGAGACAATATTGGAAATGTGTTGAATATCCTGGAGTATTTGGACTAACACAAGCTGCGTTGATCTTTTTAGATACAGAGAAGTCCTTGACAATTTGAAGTGGATTTTCTTGCTGAGAGTTCTGGCATATAATTTTATTAAATGAGTAAGATAGATTTATACCATTCAGAAACTACAAATAATTGTTAATGGAGAATTAACAAAAACCTGTGAGAATCAAAAAGGAACAAGACAAGGATCTCCACTGTCTCCATTCTTATTCAATTTAATTCTTGAGAAATTAAGTAGAGACATAAGACAAGATGAGAGAATTTGGGGATTTTTTAAAAAAAACTGATAAGTTAAGGGCATTTGCAGATGACCTAGTATTAGTTTTAGAAGTTCCATTAGAGGGAGTAGAAACATTACTGGGAAAATTAAAGGACTTTGGTATCCTAGCAGGTTTTAAAACTAATAATCAGAATATGAAGATGAAAATAGAAAATTAAATAGAACTGATGGAAAGAACTTATTGTAAGCTTGCAAAAAAGTAAAATATTCGGGCATTACTATGATGAATATGAATTGTATATTTCAAAATAATTATGTTAAGACATGTAATGAAATTAAGAAGGATATATTAAGATGGGAAAAATTAAAATTGTCACTGTTAGGGAAAAATGTGATAAAAATGAATGTTTTGCCTAGAATAACATTTACCAATGGGAAAAAATATATGATTAAAAGAATTGAAATTTACATTATGGTATGATGGAACAAGAATTTTTATAAAATGATGTATGGTTGGTACATAATGCCAAGAAATTATCTAGAATGTATAAAAGCATTTCAAATGTTTGTTGGAAATGTGAGCAACATGAAGAGATGTTTTATCATGCTTGGGGGACATATAAAAAAACTAAAAAAAATGGATTAAAATAAATGTATCAATATAGAGGATTTAAAAGATTAATACTCAATTGAAGCCAGAACTTTTGCTTTTAGGACTGATGAATAAACAGTTAGAAAAAAATCATGGAAGATTACTTCAATATATGATTACTGTGGCAAGACTACTATATGTACAAAGATGGAAAGATTCAACACTATCCATCATGGAAGAATGATTGGTGAAATTGACAGAACCTGCTGAGATCATCAAATGGACATTTTTTATTTGAGAAACTTCATTGTTCACATTCATAAATTATTGGAAATCCCTTTCTTTTTGTATAAAAAAGGAATTTTTTTACGACTTATGATGTGATGGTTAGAAGGAATAGGTTATATAAAGAAAGGAATTACAGGTAGTCCTCAACTTATGATCACAATGCGACTGAAACTTTCATCACTAAGGAATGTGGTCATTAAGTGAGCCATGCCTGATTTGATTTTTTTTTGCTGCAGTTGTTAAGTGAATCACTGCAATTGTTAAGTAAATCCAGCTTCTTCCATTGTCTTTGTTTGATAGAAGCCCCAGGAAGGTTACAAATGTTGATCACATGACCCTGAGGCACTGCGACCCTCAAAATACATGTCAGTTGGCAAGCACCCAAGTTTTGATCATGTGACTGCAGGGATGCTGTGATAGTCGTAGGTGTGAGGACCATTTGTAAGACTTCTTAAAGCACCAATGTAGCTTCAAACAGTCATTAAGTAATGGTTGTAAGTGGAGGACAACCTGTGTGATGAAACCCTGGAGAGAGAGGTTTGATTAGAATTGTATGTATAACTGACAAGAAGAAGATCGGAAGCCATTTCTTTTATTTTTACATATATATATGTGTGTGTGTGTGTGTGTCTGTGTGTGATTTCTCTTCCTTTATTTTCTTTTTTCTCTTCTGTTTTTCTTTTTTTTTTTCACATCTATTTCACTATATTTTTACTTTCTTTGAATGTATTTCTTGTCATCTGTGTAAATTGTTTTAATAAAAACTATTTTTTTTAAAAAAAGAGAGATCAACAATGACAACAGAAAAAAGATGAATGTCCACTTCCACTTAACCCTTTAATTCAAGGCATGAAGTTCAGAGGGCCTGATAGCAACAGCTGCAACGTTTTGCTCATTCTTCTTTTTCTTCTTGAGATGTAAAAACACTAGTCCCAAAATGACACCTAAACAAACAAACAAACAGGGAAAACAGATTTAGAGTTTATCCAACCCAGTTTTTTCTCAAACTAGAACCCTCTAGATGTATCCTACCTCTTCCCTTGCTAGTTCAGTCTATGGTCTGTGCTGGCTGGGGATCATGGGTCTTGTCACCTAGGACATCTAAGAAGTGCTAGGTCCAGGAAAGTTGTTTTAAGCAAAACCATATTTTGCGAATTTGTCACAAGCAAAATAGATTAGTATTTCTACCGTGCTCATACTGTATGTGCTTACTCAATAAAAATCTCGCTGTGTTCAAAAGAGCTTATTCTCCATTAAGTGTAGCTTTAACAATTGTCAGGCTATGTAGAACTACACAGATTTCAGTAAGGCACCTTTAATACCAGTCAGGGAATAAATACAAAAATTACATCAATGAGTGTCGTATCCTAAGAAACATGTTTTAGATGTACTATAACTTGGTCTTAATCCACGGTTTGAGTGGGTTCATATACTGCCTAAATACATTGTGGTCTCCAGATTAACCTCTTATGTGCTTATTTTCAGAACCTCTTATGTGCTTATTTTCAGAAACGTATGAAATCAACTGTCAATTATCAGTTTAATGGTTCTGAATATACTGTAATGGTGCGTTTCTCTGTTATTAGAAAATTAATTACAGCTAGGTAATTTAATTTCATTGTTCTTAATTTAAACATGAATCTAGTTAGGAGGCATTATTTAGATAACAGCCAAACGTGAAAAGCTAAACAGAGTCAAATCTGGCTAGTAAGAAAACTACACCATAAAATCTTCTTCACCAAAGTTGCAAGGGCCTGGGCCCAGAACTGTCCTCATAAAAAAACAACTGAGCAATCAGCCCTCCATGGAAATCAGCATCAGTCATTTTCTCTACAACCAACACAACTGTGAAGGCCAGTTTGGAGCTCAAATTAGTAGTTTCATTTCATCAGTGCAGCCATTTCTCCCCTGAATGACAATCTACCCTAGTTAACATGCAACATATTATTACTGAGTAAAAATAATTGCCAAATTGTTGGCAAACAGTTCCCAGGAGTCCAGATCTTACGCAGACCTGATGATAATGACTAAAGGACAATGTCATGCAAACATCCACCATAATAGATGTACTATACTGGGTTTGTGTTCTGGAGATGCAGTTATTTTATCTGCATCTCTTGATGCTGGCAGCTTGCTGACCAAGAGCAAATCTGTGGTTTATTTACCCAGTGCAAGTGCAATCAATAACACATAGGGTTGAAGAAAGTGGAAATTTATCACTTTATTTCAGATCAGAAGCAAAGGGGCTCTCCATTAGCAAACAGAGGAACTGAGAGGAGCACTGAGCAGAACTGGCATTCTATTTCAGGGTATAGGAAATTCAAAGCAGCAATACAATGACTGATTACAAATTTCTTATATCGTGCCATTCAGGTGTTCTTAGTATGATCTATACCAGTGGTTCTCAACCTTTTTAATGCCGCGACCCCCAACCGGTCGTAAGTCGAGGACTAAAGCGGTCATAAGTCGAGGACTAAGCCGGTCGTAAGTCGAGGACTACCCAACCAGTCGTAAGTCGAGGACTTTCCCTGCCCGGAGCGCTGCGCATGCGTGGTTCCGCCCCCTGCGCCGGCCGAGGCGTAGCTGGCAAGCGGCAGAGACGGAGCAGGCCGACCACCAGCTGGCCCAGCTCAAGGGAGGTAAGGCACCCGCCGGAAAAGGGGAAAAAAATGGCGGACAGCCTTGCTTGGCGACCCCCATGAAATGGTCGATCGACCCCAAATGGGGTCACGACCCATAGGTTGAGAACCGCTGATCTATACCATCTAGACCCCTGCTTGCCCCTCAACCCAAGATGCAACAAGCTTCTAGGTACTGTTCTAGCATCTAGCTATGGGTTCTCTGTAGGGTCTGCTTTCAGCAGATCTTGTTCTGACTTAGCTAAGCTGCTGGCAGCTTCCTGTTTTGAGTTTCTAGGCAGACAAGACAAAAGCAGACTGAAAAGAATTGAAAAGAATTTGTTCCTTTTTTAAATGAAGTGCTTTCAAGATTGGGGTCTCAGACTCTCAAGCTCAAAATATGGAACACTTTGCTTTTGCTTATTTCTTGTAACTCTTATGATTTCAAGAGTTCCTGGCCAAGAAATACAATAAAAATGAATCTATGGTGGCTCTTGCTTTCAAATATGGAATTGTGGATTGGATCTCTGACTCAGGCAAATATTAAAGTAAGGCGTTTTTATGTAATTCATGAATTATAAATATTTTTCCTCTAAAAAAAATCCAGATTTCAGCTAATTCAATCTATTTTCACAAGCTCTATTTTTATAAAAACATAGCTATAGTTTAAAAGTTATTGTTTTTTATTTATACATTGAAAGGGCAAATTCTTTAGTAGCTCTATCAGTCATCCTAGTTCCTTTAGTGTTTTCAGATTCCCCCCAAGAATTCTTATTTCATTTCCAGGAAAGGGATGCAGTACAATGTAGTCTAGTATTATCAAACTTTTTGTTCAGGCTAAACACAATAAATATTATCCAACTGTAGAAAATTGGCACTTAGAGAATAAATTAATAGAGTCAAGATGAAACATTTAGACATCTACAGATATAAGCAACATGTTAGAATACAGAATACAAAATAACAGAGTTGGAAAGACCTTGGAGGTCTTCTAGTCCAGGGGTCCCCAACCCCCGATTCGTGGACCAGTACCGAGCCACGATATGCCAGCAACCGGGCCGCACAAACAAGGGAAGCCCCATCCACAGAATGCAGGCAGCATACAAAACCATGCCCCCTCCAGTCCATGGAAAAACTTTTCTCCACAGAACTGGTCCCTGGTGCCCCAAAGGTTGGGGACCTCTGTTCTAGTCCAATCCCTACTCAAACAGGAGACTCATATTATACTGAACAAATGTTATCAAACAGAATAGAGCTGTAAGGGAACTTGGAGGTCTTCTAGTCCAACCCTCTGCTCAAGCAGGAGACCCTATACCATTTCAACTAGGTGGCTGTCCAGTCTTTTCTTAAAAAGCCCCTACAACTTCTGGAGGTAAGTGCCAACCAGCCGACCCAACTAGTTGCCGATGGGCTGTCCTGGTGCACGTCGCCATCATCCGCGGCCTGCACCCAGTTGCCCTGTGGAGTTGCTGACGCCGGAGCCTCTCACACCGCCCAGTAGGCTGCCGTACGGGCCGGGACAGCTGTTCCTCTTGTGCGACGTTTCCGGCGGCCGGCTGCTTGCTTCTGCTGCCAGCTGCTTGCCCCCCCCTCCTGAGAATGTCGAGCCCACGGGGCTTGACAGTAAGCTGTTCCACTGGTTGTTAATTGTCCTCACTGTTGGGAAGTTTCTCCTTAATTCCAGATTGCTTCTCACCATGATTAGTTTCCATCCATTGTTTCTTGTCTTGCATACAGGTGCTTTGGAAAATAAATTGACCCCCTCTTCTTTGTGGCAGCTGCTCAAATACTGGAATACTGCTGTCATGTCCCCCCTAGCCCTTCTTTTCTCTAGACTGGCCATACCCAATCCCTGCAACCATTCTTCATGTTTTTGTCTCCAAGCCTTTAATCATCTTAGTTGCTCTTCTTTGCAATTTTTCCAAAGTCTCAACATATTTCTTTGTAATGTGGTGACCAAAACTGGATAGAGTATTCCAAGTGTGGCCTTACTAAGGCTTTACAAAGCAGTACTAATACTTCACTGATTTTGAAGAATTTTTGGCTGCTACCACACACTGCTGACTCATGTTTCAATGACTGTCCACTAGGACTCCAAGATCCCTCTCCCAGTTACTGTTTTTGAGCCAGGTTTCGCCTACTCTGTACTTGTGCCTTTGGTTTTTCCTGCCTAGGTGTAAAATCTTGCTTTTCTCCACATTAAACTTCATGTTGTTGGATAGCACCCATTGTTCAAGCCTGTCAAGATCTTTTTGGATCCTGAGGTTCTGTCCAATCTCTTTTATTGCCTGTCTAGAATTACTGTATATATTGCCCAGAAAATGCTGTATTCTTTTGCAAATATTGTATTGCAGTAATATCAGTTTTTCCAATAGAAAGAACATGTGAATCTCAGGGCTGAAATGTAGAGTTCTTGTGCTCTCTTAGTCTGCTTGTTTGCTTGTAAATGTTTCATTACCAACTAGGCAACATCATCAGCGCTCAAACGGAGCACCAAGAATTCCATGTCAATTTTTGCCATTTTATTGCTTCCTTAATCCTCCAACAATTATCAGGGCCACTCCATGAAACAAAAAAAATGGGTGGAAGTTCTAGTGTAGCTTCTAGTCATCAGACCTACTAGTAACTATATGATTTAAGAAGAACACTTACCAATAACAAGCAGAACAGCAACCAGTATGCCAATTGTTGCTCCTACTGTTGGAAATGGATTTGGATTGTCGATTTCAATATAACATCTGTCATTGGTACACTTGCACACATTCACTATAATAAAAAAACACCGATCCGTCATAAGACAAACTCTAGCATGTGCCATAATAAAAATAAAATTTTGAAAGCACAATGAGGGATATTTTCACTATTTACCTTTCAGATCGACATCAGCTACAAGTAATGGATTTCCCCCGTCATTAATTTGCAGTGGTACATGATAGACCTTTTTTTCCAGATTCAAATTCTTTGGGGAAATGTAACCTTGATTGCCTGACAAAACAAATGGAATGATGATATTGTGATTACTGTAATGATAACAATAATTAAATAATTAAATTTAAATAATTAAAGCATTATAAGGTCTTCACTCTCTGGCCACATCCAAATAAATATCAAATCTTCACTGATTTCAATATGGCTGAATTCCGCATTCATTTAGTTATGTACAATCATTTGTCTTGTTATTTTGGAAGTCTACTAATCTTCCAGTACATACTTTTCACCCAGATAAGTTTGCTATGTTTAAATTTAGTACAAATGTTAAGTGTTTAAAAGAAAAGGTAGAAAAAGAAATACAATATCAAAACATTTACAAAAACAATGACAAACATATTTAATAATATTTAATAAACAGTATCAACCTGGTGGAAGCAGGACATAGCAGCTTCTAAAATTGATGTTGCCTATGAGAGACTACATCTACGTTCCTAAAAAACTAGGAAGGCTATACGCTAATAGTACTCTATTAGTACTAATACTAATAGAGAGGATGTTAACCAGGCTTTCAAAGGTAGTTCCAGAGTTTAGTAGTGCCAATGAAAAGAACTTATGTTTTCTCTTGTCTCAATTAAACATGCATTGCCAGGTTGAGACAAATCTTAGGAAGCAGGCAGATTGGGTATAGAACAGTGGTGGTGAACCTTTTGGACTGGGCAAGTTAAAAGTTCAGAAAATGGGCCCAGTTTAAGTGGGCAAAAGATTATTTGACTTTGGCAGTAATCTCAATTTTTGTAGCATAAATTCTTAACCAGATTCCATAAGAGGGCTATCCTAAGACAGTAAGACACTCACATATCTAATAACCATAAGAAATAAATGTGTTCATTTGTATAGCTCAACTAGAAGAAAGTAAAAAGTAATTCAAATGTATCCTAAGCCAGAGGAGATGGATAAGAAATCCTAATTGAAGATTGTCTCCAGCTTATCACAAACATACTCACCATCTATTTTAGAAATGTACCAGTTGTCATATCCACCAGTGAGGAAGTATTTTAAGTTTTGAGATACTGAATCTGGATCAGCAACTTCAAATTTTGCACTCTGGTCTTTTTGGAGTGGGTGGCACAAGAACACAGACTCATTTACTAAATATGGAGCATTATCATTGATATCTTTGAGATGCAATATCAGCTGTGCAACACTGCTTTTATATGGTCTGCCTGTACATTTGAAAAGAGTAAGAGGATATTTTTTTAAAAAAAGAGTAATGTATAGCTCAGTGGTGGCGAACCTATGGCACGGGTGCCAGAGGCGGCACTCAGAGCCCTCTCTGTGGGCACACACGCCATCGCCCCAGTCCTAGGCCTTCAGCTGGGTTTTATAAAACCTTTTCGCTTTAGGCCTCCGCCGCCATGTGCAAAAAAAAAAAGGTTCAATCAATCAATCAATTTCATCTTCTCGTGGGAAAAAAAAGATCTTGCAAAGTTGGAATTGATTGATTGAACTTTTTAGTCCCACCCAGTCTGCCATTACCTCCGCAGCCACGCCCAGCCAATGGGCCATGCCCAGCCAATGGGCCATGCTCACCCAATGGGCCACACCCACCCGGCACCCGACGATGCATAAGTGGGTTTTGGGTTGCAGTTTGGGCACTCGGTCTCTAAAAGGTTTGCCATCACTGGTATAGCTGATGGGTAATGCTTATAGACATTACAAAAAGGAACAGATCTAAGGGGCAGATTTCAAAATTTAGAAGTTGTTGCTATGATCTTTACAGAAAAAACATTTCACTCTATCATTCTGACACTGGAAATAATGAATAACCAATTTCTAGTGCTTAATGGGGAAGAGGAGAGCTGATTTCATCTACCACCCCATTATTGCCAACGTGCCTTATTAAAGGTCTGAGTTTGCCCCATTTCAGGTTTATGAGTTGCTAAAATACCTATCAAGGCAAGACCAAGACTGGTGCTACCACCTATCATCTCTTGACTTTTCAGCAGTGCAAGCTGCCATGTTAAGTATATATGTAATCCTAAAATACATAATGTAACATTGATATGAATCTTGCTACTCCCAGCCACTGTCACCAAGTATGGAGAGTCAAATGTAGAACCTGTTAGGAAGCACTTTAGCCAAGGCCCTTTCAAACAGCCAAGGTATCCTTGGAGGATAAAGTTTTGCTTTCTTACTTTCATCAGTTGCAACAATTTCTACTATGTAGGCATGGAAAAGTTCATAATCCAATCGGGCAACTGTATATATATGGCCATTGACAGAATCAATCTCCAGCCATTTTGGGTCAGTTTTCCTCAGAAAGTACCTTGCAGCCAGGAAAGTAAGACATAAGAAACAAGCTTAGCCAAAAAGCATTGTTTTCAACAGTAGAAAACATTGTTTACAATAGTAACATGTATCAATATGTACATTTTCCTTCCATCACTTTTAGAATCCTAGCCCTGTTCATTGCTAATAACAACAGATGAGCCATTTTTATCTTGCAAATGGGCTATCTATTTAAGCTAGCTCCTCTCCTCTCCTTTCCTTTTTGTCTTCAAGTCAATGCTGAGTCCTGGCAACTGCCTAGACAAATTGCTGCAGTTTTCTTGGCATGAGTCCAGGGCTGGTTGCCATTACCTGCTTCCTAAGGCTAAGAGCAGGGCTTTTTTTGTCATAGAACGCCCAGAACGGAGTTCCGGCACCTTTTTTGGATAGAACCTTGTAGGGTAGGCAAGGCGGGTTGTATGACATGTGTGAGTTCCGGCACCTTTTTTTTTTTTTTAACAAAAAAAAGCACTGGCTAAGAGAGAGTGATTGACTAAGATCACCCAGTTGGCTTTGTGCCTAAAGTGGGACTAGAATTCATGATCTCCCAGTTTCTAGGCTGATGCTTTATTCATAACTGTGATCACTATTGTATACCAAATTGTCTCTCAATCAAGCAACATATTTGTTCAACTTTCTTATCACAGAGAATCAATTTCCCACCCTTTGTTACAAGTTTTCAATGGAAGCAGGATAGAATATGGGGGTACTGAAAAAAATCAAGGTTAAAAACCACAACTGTGCAATCAGACTCCTGCACCAAGAGGAGTGAATGAATATGGCTATGTTATTGACTGTTATATGATCTTGACTGTGATAACACTGATAACACTCAAAATCACATCAATTCTTTGTTGCAAAGAGAAGCTTCAGGGGACAACAGTTTTCAACAGGAAATTAGAAGAGTTAGAAGAATTGTTCTACTATGTACATACATACATATATACATACATACATACATACATGTTTATACAGGTAACCATATGCTGGGTCTCTAATCTGGACTGCACCCTTTCTACCTACACAAATTGACATCTTTATAATATACTTAAGTAAAAGAGGGGTTACTTTTGCACCTGCTAAGGTTGGCTCTTTTTAATTCTCAGTGGTGTTTTTCTGAATAAATGTCCTAGATTACAAGCCCAGCCTGCTTCATGTTTTGGTGATTCAGTATTTTATGCTCATCCAAAAAATGCATGCAGCCAAGTTAAACAAGCTATGAAAAAACAAGCTATGCAAAAAAAAAAAATGCAAATATGACATTTTAGCAAGTTCTTTTAAGGCAGGAAAGCAAGAGAATCTTCTGGATGGGATTCAGCAATGCAATTACTACAAGTCTATTTTTTACCCCCCAAAAATGATTTTTGCCTTTACCTTACTGGGGATCCTTCAGGATCAAAAGCTTTTACAGTTGTCACATTGGTACCAATTTTCGCATTTTCATCTAGTATAACTTGGTAGTTGGAATAGTGGAAAACTGGTGGTTCATCCACATCAGTAACATGGACCCGTAAGAAAGTAGATGAACTTGAATTATAGTTTATTCCAGTCACGAGAGGTTCAGGATTGGTAGCATTGATTGTAAGGCTATACACTGATTTTGTCTCAAAATCAAGACCCTACAAAAGCAAAGGACAAATTAAAACAGGTAGAACAGCCCACCAGGAACGTAAGCTAGAAGAAAATATTATCTTCTCGAAACAGATGTATAGCAGAGTTCCCGAACCTCCTATCCTCTAGATATGTAACACTACAACTTTCCATCATCTGCAGCCAGGCCATTATATTAGGTACACAGAATGACCATTGCCTATTTAGAACAAAACAGATCAAACACATCTCAAAGAGTTTCAAGGTCAAAATGCTAAAGTACCAAGCATCTATTTATTTGCTTGTTGTTTGCTTTTACTGACAATCATTCTCTGTTGGATTAGACATTGCCAGAAGAGAGGTCAAGTTTTCAGAAAGACTATTTACATTTTCTGCAACCTAGGATTAGATTTGTCATTTTTTCAGCTATCTGCATATTTGTGGGAAGTGACTGATATTGAGATGTACAGTTCTTCTTTTCCTTTCCTCCTCTTTTTTTTTTTTTTTTTTTGCAAACACTGCCTTTTTCATAATTTTCCATCACAACACCACAGTTGTGGGTACAGAGTCTTCATAACTGTCTTTCCTATCTAGTTTGGTGTGAAAGAGTCATTTTCTCAGGTCTGTACTATAGGGGATGAAGCTTTGATTGACTGAATTTTTGAGTTTTATCTTTAGTCTCCTCAAGGGACCATGTGGCATCTCCATGTTCTCTCGGTGTTCCAAGACAATAAGATAATATGGGTGTGTTTTATCTTTACCATAAGTAAAGATGTTGTGTTTATCATATGACTATCTTCAAAATAGCTGGAGGAATTAGGGAGAAGAAACAGATTTGTTGGGTAGACCTCTAAGTGTACTGTTTTTAACTATTCTCCAAAAATCTACAACTTCCGGTTTGGTAAGTGTGAAAATAATAATAATAATAATAATAATAATAATAATAATAATAATAATAATAATAATAATAATAATAATAATAATAATAAAGTTGGAAGGGATCTTGGAGGTCATCTAGTCCAACCCCCTGCTCAGGACAAATTTCGGACAAATGGCTGTCCAGTCTCTTCTTAAAAATTTGCGGTGTTGGTGCATTCACCGCTTCTGGAGGCAGGTTGTTCCGCTGGTTAATTGTTCTAACTGTCAGGAAGTTTCTCCTTAGTTCTAGGTTGCTTCTCTCCTTGATTAGTTTCCATCCGTTGCTTCTTGTCCTGCCTTCAGGCACCTTGGAGAATAGCTTGACTCCCTCTTCTTTGTGGCAGCCCCTGAGATACTGGAAGACTGCTATCATGTCCCCCCTCGTCCTTCTCTTCATTAAACTAGACATACCCAATTCCAGCAACCGTTCCTTATGTCATTTAACATTTTGACCTTGAAATTCACAAGATCTCAAAGGAAAATAGAATCTCATAAGATTTGCAAAACTTCAACCATATAAATATATTTTTCTCCCATTTTCTTAAATTCGGAGGTTTTGTAGGCATCATACAGTATAGACATCCTATTGCTATTCTCTAAATTAATGTAACATTAGTCATTCAATTGCCTTGCCTTGAGGAAATGTTAATTAAATCTATGTAATATAATAATAAATGAAATGGCAATTATTCACCTTGTTAATTATAATAGCTCCTATATTTGTATCTGGATCAGTCAGTATTGTAAACGTATTATTTGGGTCACCCTTTGTGATGGTGTAAATAATCTGAGAGCTTCCAGTGGATGGATCATCAGCATCTGTGGCTTGAATTTTAAATATAAGAGATCCTTTTGCCTGATCTTCTGCAATAATCACAGTGCCATACTATAGTGAAAAACAAAACACAATAAATACAAAACAAAGGAACAGAAAAGAAGAAATAACCCTTCTAATAAGAACTGGCTATTTTAAAGAGAGCTTCATGGTGTAATAATTTGAAATCATCACTTGCTGTTGCACAGTATTCTAAGGCCATCTTCAGACACCCTGTTTGCCCTGGTGTGAAGATGCTACACTAACCATTTTTAGAGGACATCTCCTCAGCCTGACTGTTTTAAGTTCTCCTTTCTGGAAGTGGTGTTTTCCCTTTCATTCATGCTCAAGATCTTTCATCCAGACATCTCATGACACATGGAAAAGAAGACTTTAGGTGACATAAGGTTAGAGTTTACTGCTTGGGTCCAGTTGATCCAGCAGATCTGCTGTGGGAACCTCTTTCATTTAATCCCAGGGTTCAGGATCTCTTCTATGGTTCTCGTTTAGACGCTAGGGAGACTGGATTTGTGGCTCCTACCTTTATTTTATTTTTTTAATTGTGCAAAGCCTTCTACTAGACTATCTTTCTCCAGCCTAACAAAGATAATTGAAGCATAATAAAAGGACTGGCTCTTCTGCTTTTGTAATGTGGTCGGAAACTCCCTTTCTTATCCAATTGGCTCCTCCTTTTCCTCTCATAATCACACTTCCCACACTGACATCCACAGCAAAGCCCCTTTCTCAAACTCCAGCTGTTCACCAACAGTTATGCACAACCATAACTGGGCTGCACAAATCCAACCAATCACCAGTTGACAGCCAAGAAGCATAAACAACTCTTTACTGCCACCTACAGGTCTATAGGTTGAATGCTCACCCAGTCAAACGACAATTATAAGGCAGCATTCCCCAACCTTTCAGGCTGTAGGGCAGGCGTCTTCAAACTTGGAAACTTTAAGACTTGTGGACTTCAACTCCCAGAATTCCTCAGCCAGCCAATCTGATTTTCTCCAGAGGTGTTAAAGATTAACACTTAAGGTTCAAGATTACAACTTTTAAAATTCCCATGTCTGTTGCTGGAATTTCTGGGAATTGTAGTCCTAAAATATCTGGTGGGAATCAACTTGGGAAAGTCTTACCTAATTAGCCACAGATATGCAACAACAGCAACATCTACATGCCAAGCAAATGTCTTGGAAGAGGATACCATCAAATCAAAAGTTTGAGATTTTTTCCAATGTCTTGTGAAAGCAAAAACAGTCAACAAGATACTCACATCTGGTTTTTCAAATATTGGGATCTTATCATTGATGTCAATGACTTGAATTTGCACATTACATATAGTTGAGAAAACTACAAGGAAAAGGATATAACAAAATCAAATGTGAGCTGATCTGCACAGAACAGATTCTCAAACTTTTTAGACGCATCAAATGTAGCTAAAACATCCCACAGCAATTAATAGCCCTTCATAGGTATAGAATCAGGAGGAGTCAGGTTCAAATTCACCCCAGCTCTGACAACTCAAGAATGAACTTTGGGTTAGTCACTTCCTCTTAAGCCACCTGGCCAAACGTTGTCATTATGGGATGTATGTGGGGAATCTGAGAAGCAAGTGATAATGTACATTGCCTTGACCTCTTGGAGGAAAAACAGGAAATACATCTAAACAAATAACAATACAGGCAGTCCTCAATTTATAGCCAATACTGAGTCTGTAATTTAGTCATAAGTCATGCCAGTCATTAAGCAGGTCATCACATGACCAACACAACTTTATGACTTTTTGGTGGTGGCTGTAAAGTGAATGCTGTGATTGTTAAGCAAAACAATTCCTCTGCAATGGGCATTTTTTTGCCCCAAACTAGAAGTAATTGCTGGGTTTTGCCAAAAAATATAAATTGCCATCATGGGGATGCAGGACCCTGCTGGTGGCCAAGGGCCCAAAATGTGATTATGTGACTGTGGGGGAAGGGAGGGACAGCCTTTGGAACTTTGAATCAAGGTCATCTAGGTTTTGGGCTTCATTGTAATTTGAACGGTCACTAAGCAACTGATCATAAGTCACAGGCTACCTGTACTACTACTACTACTACGACGACGACGACAACGACGACGACTTCAAGGGGAATAATTCAGGATTTTAATGTTATTCCTTTATTTCAGAACTTACGTCTGAATATTTATATTTCTCACTCCAATGTGGAGGGAAACTGCAATTTTCAGCAATCTTGCCATGAAATCCACCAACATGGTCAAAAGGTATTCCAGGGCTACAATAAGGAGTTTGAGGGCCTGGAGTTGCAGGTAGAGCTTCAGTCACATTGCCATGTAACTAACATATTGCCCTTTTGGACCACACCTTAGGGACACCTTCTTTTTAAAAGGAGCACATAAAAGATTTATAATTTTACTTTTACATGTATAGCTATTGATGAAAGGAACAAGGGCTAGAAGGAATCAAAAGGAAGAAATGGAAGAAATGAAAGAAGTATAGATGAGAGACTGTGGGCTATCTCATGATTCATGTCGCTCTAACATTTGGGGAATACGTGTAATGTGTGGTGCACTGACCTGAATCTGTCACATTCACCTTCAACATGTAAGTTGTGGCCACTTGTCTGTTTAATCCCAATCTGAACAGGTGGACTGACCCAGTTCTCAATTCGATGCGGAAGAGATTGTCTCGTGGGATTTTGGGGTTCTGGTCCACAAGGGTGAACTGCAGGCGAGAATTAAGAGACCCTTTCTCATCGTTGTCTGAGGCAAGGACAATTCCTATTAAATTCCCTGTTGGTAACAGAGGAAACTGTAGTTAGACCAATAGCAAACGCCTAGTAGAAAATAAAATAAATTACTTATAGAAAGACAAATGTAACTTTTGGGATTGGGCAAGGGAACCAACATGAGTCCTATATACACTTATTCACAAATTCATGATAGAATTATTTATGTGGAACATCATCTCCTTAAAACCTAACAAGAGGCAGTTAGTATTTTTCAGTGGAATCCAAAATGGCCAAAGAAAGATTAGCGATGAGCAAAATACCTCCTTTTTCAACTTCACCCTTGCAGTGAGGGGATTGTATATATAAAGGCC